CCCCACCCCACCCCACCCCCGCCCACCTTCCTCGCCTCCTTTTTTCCATCTCGACATGTTTTATTTAGACGATGAATTGAAAACCATTTTAATTTCGAATTTGAATTGTTTGTCACAGCGTGAGGTGATGTTCAGCCTCCTCTCTCTCTCCTCCCATTTCCACGTTAATCGCAATTCAAACATCATGAAGGAAAACAACAGATCAATCGTCTCTATGACCTTCATATTGTAAAGGAATTATAAGTCTTGACTGTAGGGCTGGGTGTTTATTATTATTACATTTCTGGAGGGGGGGGGGGGTTAACTGCACTGCTTTTATCTAGAAGGTTAGGCCTATCACACCCCACAAATGATCACACAAACACTTACATACAATTATGCGTTCTATGCTGCTCGCCTGATTTTTTTAAAAGATTTTTTCTCGATTTCAGTTGCACTTGACGTGAAGCAGATATATTATAATCACTCACTACAAGTAAGTGGCATAAGTTCACGGGGAGCCAAAGGTTGTAACACCCTGTCGTGCTGCAAGGAGATCTGTGACACTCGTGGCTCTGGATGCGCCGCCTTTCAGGTCTTCCGGCCAGGGACGGTTGACAAAGAGGGGAACTGTTTTACCTTTTCGGAATCACAAGCGTGTAAAGCGGGAGAACAGGCGGTCGATTCAACGTTGTACATTGTCAATACAACGTGCAAAAGTACGTGTTGATTTTTTCATTCCATTCGGTAATTAATTTGTTATTCGTTATCTAATTTCTAATTTGAATCTCTAATTTCTTGCATTTTTATGTTCATGTGCTACACAACTAATATATATTTAGCTCACTTTGATATATCTAGTGCACACTGTGTTGCTATTTCATTTATGTGATCTCTTCCTATTAATCTGAATCCCCAAAAGTGACAAATATTCAAATATCGTTTTGTCTAGATGTGGTTTGTGGGGGTGATATTGATAAGTGCAAATATGGCGTCTGCTCCAAGAGGGATTACGGTTTGAGGTCTCGCTGTTTGTGTAACACGGGGTTTACAGGAAGAAGCTGCAACGAAAGTGAGTGACAACTTTTATATGTAGTCAAGTTCTTTAAATTGATATGCCTATTATACGATCTCTCGATTCAGCTTGGAAAACATATTTTAATATTGACTTTTAAAAAAGTCACCCGGAAGTTTGTGTCAAACTGGAAGACAGTCACATGGTTTAAACTACATACAGATGCCCAACAAAATGTCATTATATGGGGTTTCTACTATATTTTCTGTTCTGTACAGTCATATTGTTTATGTCACTGCAAAAATGAAGCGATATTATTATCATTATTAAATAGAATACACTGTAGTAGCCTATTATTTGCATTTTCTATATTAAGCTGTGCAGTGCATACCTGATAAAGTCAACAACGCTACAATTACCCCTGCACGTCAAACTTACCACTACAAAGACATTGTGACTTACACCTGTGCTGTTGGATACGAACTAGAAGGACTCAGCGGCGCATCTAGCATCAACAAGAGCTGCCACGCGAATGGAACATTTGGTCACATCCCGCCTTGTGTCGAGGCAGTGTGTCGCGCGTCTGAGCTTGTCGCCAGTCACCTTATTCCAGAAAAGATAGGACCGTACAGACGCGGGGAAGACGTGATAGTGCGATGCAAAGAGGGGTTTCTTTTTAATATTGCCGTCAAAGGAACTGAAATTCTCAGCTGTTTAGCTAATGGAACATTTGCCATGCCATTTCCGGTGTGTTTCCCAGGTAAATATAAATCAACAGTTTGGTTTTGTAGTGAATGTTTTCGTTTTCATTTTGGCTTACAAACATTTCATGTTCATTATCATGTAAACCGTATCTTAAATTTGAAAAAAAAAGAGAAAAATTAGGACAAATTTAGGCCTTTAGTGAAACGAGAAAAAAGTTTCAAAAGATCGACTAGTTTTCACATCAAAAAAGAGAAGATAAGTGCAACATGTGCCCATGGCGTGTCAAATAGTGAACAGTTCCTCTCGTATATTTTCAGCTTGCCCAGACCTCTCACATGTAGAACATTCTATACCTAGTTCCCCCGGACCCTACGCCTTCAACGAGACGGTGACCATACAGTGCAGCAAGGGTTACGCTTTGGGTGGGGGTGACACATCCAAAACGCTAAGGTGTAGCCAGAACGGAACATTTGACACGACACCGGGCACCTGTCACAAAATTCCAGGTGTGATTAGTTTTTTTAATTGAGACACTGCTATTCCGTTTACACTTACAATCATTTCTGTCACATAACGAGGTTGCTAACTATCATGTAAACCTTATCTTAAATTTGGAAAAAATAAGAAAAATAGGACAAATGTAGGCCTTTAGTGAAACGAGAAAAAAGTTTCAAAAGATCGACTAGTTTTCACATCAAAAACGGGAAGATAAGTGTAACATGTGCCCATGGCGTGTCAAACAGTGAACAGTTCCTCTTATATATTTCCAGTTTGCCCAAACCTCTCACATGTAGAACATTCTATACCTAGTTCACCTGGACCCTACACCTTCAACGAGACGGTGACCATACTGTGCAGCAAGGGTTACGCTTTGGGTGGGGGTGACACGTACCAAATACTGAGGTGTACCCAGAACGGAACATTTGACACGACACCGGGCACCTGTCACAGAATTCCAGGTGTGATTATTTTTTTTTTATTTTTGACACTGCTATTCCGTTTACACCTACAATCATTTCTGTCACCTAACGCCATGGTTGCTCATTGCAGTTTGCTTTTTTCAAATTTGAAAGCGAACTTGTATTTTTCATACGATTCATTAGTTTTGAAAACCTCATGCTTAATGCCTTTCTCTTCAGTTCCAGATAAATCTCAAGTTTCAGCCGGTAAGTGGTCCGACTTTTGCTTTTGCGCCAGGACCTTACTTTACAATAGAACTTCAACCAGGAAGTTGGATTTAAATTGCAGATCAAAATTCAAAACAGTCTTTTGTATTCAGCTTGGTGATATCAGTATTGATGTGAAACATACGGTATCAAATTCTTGCCATAAAACAGAAATAATGCTATTATATATCAGACCCACGCTATTTTACGTACAGGTTGATTTGAGGGACAATTTTGCTAGACTTCTCTGTAAAGGTACATAGATGCCATATATATATATGTAAAGAATTATGAAAACTTTGCAACACAGGAGACCTGTAAATACTATAATTGAAACTGCATTTAATGCTCAAAAGGCGTATTATAATTTTGACCCTATATATTAATCTGCATTTGTCTTTGTTCTATTAGCATTTTATTTGTTTTCATAGGAATCATAGCTGGGATATGTCTTGGTGGGTGTATCATAGCCCTATGCATTGGTATCATCATTTTTGTGCGACGGAGGTGAGCATTTTTTCTGAACATGAATAACGATGTAAGTAAAGTAATCTAAGTCAATTTCCCACAAGATGGCCGTGTACCTCAATATAATTTTGTCATTGTTTATCGTAATTGTTGTTCCATAGTTAGTGTTAATTATCATCATGGTGGCTATTAATTGATGGCCTTTGTATTGGTTTTACTCGCATTTCATTTTTAAAATTTATTAATTTTGCCTTAGAAAACGAAATACTGTTTTGGAAGAAAAACGAGACAGTTCTGGTGTCATCACCGAGGCAAGAGATGAGAAAGACGGTGACAATCAGGGGGCTAGGCTCTCAGATCTCTACGCTAAACCGATCAAATTTCAAGCCAATACTTATACTTCAAGTGCGGAAGAGGCTCCACAAAACACGACGCTCCTTACTCACAATCCCAGCGAGACTCCCTCAAAGGAACCCGAATGCTCAACTGACGTTCTTCTGGTAACAAATTCACTCTATGACACCGGCACTGAAGACTCTGTAAACATGGTTGAAAATAATTTATATGGCTGACTGTTTTGTTTTTTGAGAGTTGTCATATAAAATGTTTGGTACGTGCAGAGCGTACCAGGAATATATATTAACGAAAAGTTTTACCAACACCGGAAGTTAAGTCTCATGGATAACATATAAAATAAACTATACAAAACCAACTATTTGCTCACAAACTGCAGTATGCATTTTTTAAAGTAAGACATCCCTCGTTTTCATTTACTGGTACATGTACATAAAGTCATTGAAATATACTTTGGCTTAGAATGACACAAAATTATTTTGATTTGTATTTTGAGCAGTTCACCAATAATGTGTGGCGTGCGCTATAGTCAACATAGATATAGGATAAAGGTGTCGACTTGTGGTTCAGATTAATCAGTTGAACGTATATTTGTATCTTTGTTTTATACATCTGCAGCGCAAAAATTTCTATTATTACATAACGAACAGTTCCGATTTTGATTAAAATATAAAAACATGTATCACGATTCTTGATCACTGGCAGTTCCAGGATTTTGATTGGGGGTCAAAAATAAAAAAGATAAAAAAGATTTTAAAAAAAGATAAAAAAAGTCAAGGGCAAATTTACTATGAATTTTTGGGCTTTGTTTGTTACACTGAGGGAAGAGGGAAAGTGACAGGACGAGACAAGTGCCCGTAGTGTCACTGGTGAACATGGTTTTCCCCATTGTTGGCCATAATCTACGGCTTTTAGATCGATCTATCCCCGCGGGGAGTCTCACTAGATTACTGTCAGATAATCCGGCTTAAATGTCCGTCCCGCCTACTACAAGTTGTAAGGGGGTAATTAACTTTCGTGTCCGCTCGGCTGACAGCTATTTAGCGTGAAGCCCCAGGGAGTTAGGTCGATCTAAAGTAGATAGATCTAACTTCTGGAAATGGGGTCTACGTTTCTAATGTCAGTTCACACTCTCCAGTAGGCCCCTATATGTAAGTGTCTAAGTGTTTATTCCATTAAAAATTCCCATTGTTGAATAGATAATCCGGGCTGTGGTATGCCATGGGCGTCGAGATGATAACTGTCAAGTAAATCCTTGCAGAAGGATTACCACTTGTGACTGAGGTGCCGTCTTTGTTTGCATTTCTCAGTTTTCTTTTTTTAATTTTTTGTGGGAATTATTCATTTAGAATTCGTCCGAGGACTCGTCATCACTGTCCTTGGGTGGAGGTGCTACCTTCTTTGGCGGAGGCTCGTTCCATATGATCCTTACTCCAAGTTTTGATTTTATACGCAACCCTTTCTTCTCACAATAGGTGGCGACCTTGTCCTTGTCGTCAAGAGTGGCTATGTACTGATTTCGACAATCTCCACAGTGGAGCACAAGGCAGACCTTCAGACCAATCACGTAGATTTTGGCATTTGTAAAATCCAGTTTTGATTCGTTTTGTACGAATTTTTGCATGCCCTGTAGTACCCTCTTGTCCACGTCTGGGATGGTGAGCCAGAGTCTCTGGATGGGCCCCGTGAAGTGATGGGCTGTGATCTGGGTGTGGCAGTCTATGGTCTCCTCTACACTGCCTTGCTGGAATATAGTTTGTATATTAATATATATACATATGAGTTTTAAATGAATAAAATTTATATATTTTTAAATAAAAATTTCAATAAATGAATATATTAGTTAGTAAAGGTATAGGTGAATGAATGAATACATTAATTAATAGACCAAATCGTTAAGACAATTCTTTCACATAAGTATATTGAAATGAAATTAATATAGCAGTAAGTTAATTAAGAAAACGTGACTGCATAGGTTGTTAAAAATAACACGCAGCATTTGCCGCACACAGAAAGTGTACATATTTCCATTGATCTTCATTTACAAAACATCACCTTCTCTCCACCCACACTACACAGTATTTGATGCCAAAACTCAAATATCTCATTTTGAATGAAATATATTTCCTTTTTCCGTCTTTTACTCTTTTACCATTTTCTCCTTGTTGTCCCCTGCAGCTGTGCTAATATGCAGCCGTCTTGTAGTTGGATTTACCCCCCACCCCCTAAAAAAATTGGAAAATTATTAAGTAGCCAATTACCACACTATTATCACTCCCACCATTAACAACAACAACACCATTCACAACAACTACAGCAACACCGCTCATTGCCACGTACTTACTCCGAGATTTTTCTTCCTTGCATGCGACACAATTTTGTCCATCGGGTTCACCTCTATGGCGACGGGCTGCTTTGGTTTTCTCTTTGACATGGTTTTGATTCTCTCAAAATACTTTTGATTATGAATTAGCTGTTTTGGGGAAATATTGCTGCTCTTTTGTTTGCTCTATTGTAAATTGAAATATTTTCAGTGCCATTTAATAGGTCAGTTTCATTTGAATGTCTGTTGATTTCCTCATTAATCAGAGATATCAGGACAGAATTACAATCCTTCTCAATCAGCGGCTCCTCGGGTGCAGTAGAACAAAATAGAGATTTAAATCGGTACTCGGAAATTTCTGCGCTGCCGGGACACCAACCTTTTTTTCTCGGTATATGGTTTAGATCAGCAAGTCTTTTATAGTCCTCAGTTTGATTCACATTCACTCTCCTTGGGTACACTGTAACTTCGCCTGTCGAAAGACCATTTTGACCGATCTGCCGCTACTCTTGCTTCTGGCACTACGACGATATTATATTAAGCGTCACGTAGTCATTACGGTGTCATCCTTACTTATACGTGAGCTGTGAACAGGCATTAAATAGTCCTTAATCCAAAGTGAGTGAATATCTTAATTAGCCATCCTGTTCTGGAAGTACTGCTGTCACTGTACTCAAGCATAGGGTATGGCGGCTTGTGTCGTTACTTGTAACTTACCAGAGTATGGTGTCTATTTATATTTCAAACAAACTTTCTGTAGTTACAAGTCTTTAATACCTCAGACCTATTGTTAAGATGTTGTTGTTTTGTTAAGACTAGCGCGCGTAGTTGTTGAAATAACAGTCTGCGTTGACTTTAGGTCAAGTTTGATGAAATGAACGCATTCATTAGATTTGTTTGAAATGCTTATTACATTTCTGCTCCATTACATGCGTTTTCCCGAAGAAATCTTATATTCTTCTCCTTTCTTTTTAGTTTATTTTTCACTGATAATACCATACGTGTCCAAAGTATGTTTTTGAAAGACAAGAAGAAGTATCTTGGATTATGAAAGATATAACTATCTAAAAATACATTGTATTGGTATAAAAACGTGATCTTATCTAACCAAAAATCTCGCTACTTCACTGTATTCCCTGAGTCAACCGAGTGACCCTACTTCTAAAGACAAACAAAACAGATTGAAAAGTTACATTGAACTTTATTATACCAAAATGACTCGTGCCATTCTTTAATCCGCTAGTAGGAGGTAGAGCCCTTTGTCCCTATTCAGGTACTTATGTATGGACTGACGCGCGCAACAACAAATCGTGTTGACGTTCTGTTTGAATATACAGCTTTCGTTAGGAATTAGTACAGTTGAAAGGGCGTCAGACACGAACCTCGAAGGCCCAAAGCCGGGAGGGGGGTGTCGTGGGGTTCGAACTAACCGCCCTTTTTGCCGGAAAAGGTCCGCTCTGGGTAACATTTGATACATATACACAAAGGTTTAATGTAAAAGGTCCATTTTTTCAGAAGACAAAAACTTTCGAAAATCTCAGCTACAGCCTGCTTAGGATTTTCTAGTGTAGGACGAAGAATAAACTTTTTTCAATATATATATATATATATATATATATATATATATATATATATATATATATATATATATATATATATATATATATATATATATCCAATCCCACAGATATACGATTATGCCTAATTTAATTTAATCTTTCATTAACATGTTTTTAATTATGGTTAAAAACTTTTTTTCGATGCAAAAATTATATACAAAATTATGCGCACTTTCATGCATTGAGTTTTGAATGCGCTTTACAGTACCTTCCAACAATCAGATGGTATAAAACCGATGTAACATGTTATATCACTGCAATATCATTGCTGTAATGTTGATATTATGTTTATAAACCTTCAAACATAATTAAAGGAATTGGTAGTGTAGGTCGCTGCTTAGTCTAAAATCTGATCTAGTTTCAACAGAAAGCGTGTTGAGCATTAATACCCTACTATGTACGCATTCAGCTTTTTTTTTTAACAATGAAAGAAGCGAAATATGTATGTGTCAGGTCAAATCAGCGCATGCAAACATAATTTTTAAAATTGTTATTAATAAATAGGCTTTATGTACAACATTTGAGGCCGTCATAAGCCAAGATTACAGCTATTAGGCATAAATATGCAGTTAATTTATTGCGTTGCCTAATTCAGCCTCGATTTCGGCGAGGGGACCATCCAGGTATCCATTAAGAACGCGCAAATATTCATCACTTGTACTGCTATAGGGGTCACTGTTCACATAGATGCTACTGTCTCTAACGCAGCGCGACCCGGGTTCTTGACCTGCCGTTCGCTTCTTGACCTCGTTTCCGTTTTCCTCTGCGTCACTTCCGCTAGCCACATCGAGGCGGAAGGAGTCGTGGTTCAGGTAGATGTCGGATTGCCGGTTGTCTTGAGCGGCGGTGTCGGTCCATTTCCTGTCTCGGAATGAGTTGTGGTGATCCATATCGGCATACAGACTATCGCTCACTGTCTGGCGCTTATTACCGACTGAATACGTATCCGTTGTTGAGGCATCTGATCCTTGATATCCAGTCTGTGGTTGATCAAAAGAATACGTGTCCACTGCAGAGGAATCAAATTCTTGATATTCAGCCTGTGGCGATTCTAAAGAATAGGTGTCCATAGCGGGTTGGCTGTGTTCAGCCTGTTGGAAGCCTACGGAATACGTGTCCACAGCAGATGTACGATTTTGTTGAAAGTGTTCGTGTGCTTGTTCTGGTAGGGTGCCCAAAGACGAAGGAGGCAAGCCGTCGATCTCGGGATAATGATTCGCATATTCTACCTCCCCCTCTCCCTGTTCAGAGTCTGTCTGGTCAGTTAAGGTGTACACATCACAACTTTCCGAGGTTGTGGTCGCGTGGTATCCCGAATCACGCTGGGATTTAGGTCTGTCATGCCCGTGTGTAGGGTGAGAGCGATGAGCCGCGGGAACTGGGATGAGGGACTTCTCCAGAGGAGGCACGGCATAATAATCTTCGTCATCGGCGCCTTTTAAATCATCGTAATCCTCCTCCTCCTCCTCCTCGCGTTCCTCGGCGATGCAGTAGGTGATATGCTGAGTGCTGGTGTTACTTGAATGCTTGGCATTGGAGCTGTGGCCCGAGCTGTGGCCCGAGCTGTTTTTACTATAAGTGGCGCCAGAGGAGAAATTGGTATCTGTGCTTATTCTGAAGTCAGTTTCGGTGGACGAGTAACGGTAGTCTGCCAGACTGGTGTGTAAGTACACCCTGTCCTCGTCTCCCGTAAGTCCTTTCGTATAGGAGGCCGTGAGGAGAGTGCTTTTAGAGTTGGAGTTGGAGTTGGAGTGAACGGAAGTGAGGTCGGCGCAGCCGTCATTTTCAAGACCATTTCTGATCCCGAGACTTCCGCTTCCTCTGCCTTGGTACTGGCTCTTGAACAGGTCCTCGTTTTCAAGGTTGACGGGTATCTTTGATTTCCTAATAAAATATGTATGGATATAAAATCGTAATACATGTGGACAATTTCAAATTAATCTTCCTCATAACTAACCTTTGGTATATGCATTCATTCTTTAGCAATCACATACATAACGACCTTTAATTGGTACTTTGTGTAAAATATATTGATATTGTATTCAAAATGTTATAAATGTGCCTGCACAGCACTTGGCGTCATTTCACAGTATTTAAAACCCTCCACACGGTTTATTTTTTCCACTGCAAAATTTGAATTAGCAACCGATGAGTGAAGAGGAGAAGCAGTTGCTTCTATTATTCTCGTCATCATTAAATAATCAAACAAAAAAAATTATATGAATCAAAGAGGAGAAAATTAAGATGATAGCTGGAGAAAAGTCCCGTTGTTGCTGTTATAAAATGAATAATTATAAATGAAAATGTAATATCAAAATAATCATATAAAATTCATGGAATGTTCATTAGACTGTACAACATAAAATATTTGATTTACAAACAGGCTATATAATTGATGACAGTGGCGCACGCACGATGGCGTCAAACATACACTGTGTACAGTACATGTACATCCATGTGAAGAACGTGATTTAGTATGTACACAGATTAAATCAATGCTGCTTTTACGTTTAAAGGTTTATCTTTGTACATGTACAGTGTAACTATATTTTTCGTGCACTTACTTGTAACTTAGTATTTTATGTACTCACTTGTGACTGTTTTCATGTACACACTTGTAACTTTATGTTTTCATGTACTCAATTGTAACTGTTTTCATGTACGCACTTGTAACTTTATGCTTTCATGTACTCAATTGTAACTGTTTTCATGTACGCACTTGTAACTTTATGTTTTCATGTACTCACTTGTAATTATACTGTTTTATGTACTCACCTGTAACTATATTTTTTTCTTGTACTCACCTGTAACTAAATGTACTTAACAGTGTATTTCTTGTACTCACTTGCAACGGTGGGAAATGAAAATTGCGAGCATGATGATGACGGCCACTATAAACACCAGTGAACATCCAATTCCCACTTTCACAGCTGTAAAAAAGATAACGTGCAACTTAGTATTTTCATGAAAAAAGTCAGTTGTCACCAGGTCAAATAGATTTGCAACCGATAGAGGCTCTGTTATTATTTGTATTCATTAGTTTGGTTGACTCTTCCACTGACTGTTATTTTTGGTTGAATAATTTCAAATATTTTAGAACATAATCTGTTTTTATTTTGATTATTACAGGTTTTTTGGTCAAATACCAAATGATGGAGTTCATAAACGGTTATAAATTAATTAAATAGTTTATACGTTACCATTAATTAATTAATAATGGAAATGTAAAAGTTATTCGACGATAACGATAAATATGTAACAGCTACTATTCGTAAGCAAAGTATCGACTTTAAAAAGTATTAAATTTATTTTCCTAGATATTACTTATTCAAGCGAAATTCCGTGTTGGTTCTTAATCTCCTTGATATAATGCTTTTTGTAGATATATTTATCTATATGCCCAATGGAACAAAATTGTCAAGTCGCATTTGTGATATAATAGGGCCTATACAATATGTTTTTGCTTTTCTGACTATTATCATTGCCTGGTGGGCCGAACTGGTTGTATTTCAAACCTATCCATGACTCATATTACATGTTATCATAATCTGTATATAGTGACGGTTTTCCTCCGATGGCACATAATCAAGGGAGGGTCCAGGAGGGTTACAGCGAGCAGGTGCCTCTCCTACCCTTTTCTACTTTTCTACCCCCTCCACACCCTCTTCTCTTTCCTCAGCAAACAGAATAACGAGCAAAACGAGACAATATAAAGCAGTGTGTTACCATACCTGTGCCTTGCACATCAAAATAAAGGTGTCCCCGTCCACTGTTTTAAATACTTTTGCAATCACCCCCCTCACACACACACACACACACACACACAGTCCCAGATCCGTCATTGACAGTATGTTTCCAATTATATGAAATTACAGGTGTATTATTTAAAGTGACTCGGTGTATATCATCACCAATCTGCTGTTATCTCATAAATTAACTGATACCAAATTGATGTAATCGTCTCCAAAGCTAACGGCAATTTAGACCAGGCCCAATTTCACAAAACAAATTGTCAGTTCTCTGGCTTAGTTGACTAGGATTTTCATGAGAGTACTGTTACACTGCCCCTGATAGGGTAAGATGTGACCATGTGACAGTGTAACCTTGGTGATAAAGTTCTTAGGCAGGGGGCCTGACTTAATTCTTTTTTTTTTTTTTTTGTGAATCTGGGGCTAATTGGGTACTGAATTGAGAGACATGCATTATTTGTAAATGTTAACTCTGGGCTGATATTTACACGTCGCGTCGTTATGTTATATAATCTTATATATATATCTTGAGGAAAAAGATTTCACCGTATTTAAATAGACAGCATGGATAAAACCAGTGGAAGGTATATTTACACTAGAATCAATTGAAACCTGTATGTTATTGAACTAACGTGCAGAGGACATACTGGTATATATACGCATGGCGAAATAGGAAATAGTACATTATAGACATCCGATTACAATAACTTGTTTTTTACATTGATTTCATTGAATTGTGCTCGTTTTATCTGCCGCACCTTGCCAAGAGAATGACAAGAACGTTTAAATAACTTGAATAAAGTTTAAATATTCTATCGCGGCAGTAATGCATTTGGTGCATGTGACAATACCTATTTTTAAACCAAGAAACCATTCCAGGAGGGCGACTAATGGGTCGGGGGGCGTGGTTGACGACGGCGTAATACTGTTAGGAGTGGTGTTGTCCGTCCCAGGAGGCGGCCGGTAGCCTTGAGTTGCCATGGCCTGGTTGCTGTGATACCTTAATTTTATACAACAATAAGATAACACAATGGAGTTTCTGTATGATATGTGCACGTAATTAGAAGCAAAAATCAGAAGTAGCATATGTTTGTTTTCTGTAGAACCTCAGCATAATTATTGTGTTTGCAATCTTGCCCTACTGATGAACAATTCTTTCTAAACAATTCATTTAAAAGTGAAAACACGTGTTTGTAAATCTTGCCATTTCTTATATCATCTTCGACACTTATTTTGGTATTGGGCAAACTATAAACTATTCCTTCAACAATCAAAAACACGGCGATTCATTAGACTTGAACAGCTACATAAATACAAATAGACAAAAACAAATACCTTACCTCTTAACGTGATCGATTATCTGTTAAAAGCTTCCAACAGTACCAAACAAGACGGGCGTGTTTCGTCCATAATGATTACAGACCCAACGCTGACAACGACTGCTATCGCTTAACTGATTGCGCACCGTGTGTCTGAATTTGGACAAAGTGATACCACTACCTATCAGTGGCCGGTCTGATAAATCAGATACCTTAATTGTGTGATCATTAAGCTGTTCCCTGCGATCGTTCCGGGGTCTACTTCCATAGCTGATGAGTGCAAGTGGATTTGGTCACAGAAAAAAACGAACAATGCGTTCCTTTTTATACAAAGACGTTCCGTAGATACACGGTCCGAGATTATAATAAGATTATTTGTTGTCACGTAACCATGAGTTTTGAATGATTTTTAGCATCATTTAAGTGTACAAAACAAAAAATCAAATAAATAAATAGATAAATAAATAAAATCGGCACACATATGGATGAAAAATAGTTGATCATCGGGAACTAAGCAAATTGTATCTAGCTTTTATCTATTAACTGTTGTAATGTTGGGAAGCAAGACAGACTCCGAGCTGCAGCGTCAGGCCCCACTCTCTCCGGTTCACTGATAACACATTAACAACAAATTCAGGCAAAACCTGTGCGATATTTTATTTTAAGGGAAGGTCGTTAAACAAAATCACAGACTGAGCGAAAAATTATTAAGGGATTTAGAGAAAGCCGGAATCCCTTTAGGTGTTGATATCAGCAATGGTTTGTGCGGCCATGGACATAATGAGCATGGTGCGGCACATCTCAGAAAATCCTCATTTTTTTCTCTCTTTTTCCTTATCTGGCCACCTCTCCCTGTCTTAGTAAGCCACAAAATTTATTTGAAAGTTACAAAAGCAATATATTCACCAAGCATTTACACTGTAACTCAAGCTATTTGGCGTTTGCATATGACAAGCTCTTCAAGTAAAAAAAAAAACATGATAAAACTGAAATTTATGAAAGTAATTGTTCTGTGATAAATCTCTTTTTCAAATCACTCGTGATTATATAATTCGTTTTCCTTTAGCTCTACAAAATTCTGTGTTTCGTCTACATTTCTATTCTTGGCTTTATTCGGTTTGCTGTATAAACGGCTCACATCCTCATCTCGATCACTATTTGCGTTATCCTTCTTCGGTCCATCTGAAATTTTGATGTCTGTCACTGCTGCCTTGCCAGTATGTTTAGATGGGTTATTTGTTGCGTATGCGTACGCATTCTCGTCCTCGAGACCGAGAGGTGCCATGCGTACACGGGGTGTTGCGTAACTGTACGCACTTGCATCCGTAGTATCTTTCGTACAATTTGCTGGAAGAACGGTGGAAGCATAGGCGTAAGTGTCTTGGTTTGTGTTTTTGTCCTGTACGCCACTTCGAGGAATTTCTGAATATTGAACACCGTCACTAGCCTGAGCCGCCCTGTGTGTAAACAAATTATTTCCAGCGTAAGAACAATATCAATTAAGCAATGCATAATACAATTATACCTGTCGTTATTCTTTTTGTGTATTTTAAATATTTAATGTTACGATTAAGACAAGATCTAGTAAAAAGAGTACAATATCAATTAGGCAATGCATAATTAATTAGTCCTTTGTTATTCTTTTTATGTATTTCAAATATTAAATGTTCGATTAAGGCAATTTCTAGGTACAAAAAGTGCAATATCAGTTAAGCAATACATAATATATTATTCCTAGCGTTATTCTTTTTGAGTAGGCCTATTTCAAATATCAAAAATGTTTAGACAAAGGCAAGTATGAGTAGAAACAGGAACAACAGTAAAAAAACTTAAAAAAGACAGAGAGAATGAGTTAGTAATAGCTTAGACAAGTTTTTTTTTCAGACCTACTGGCCCACCTTTTACGTCGCTTGTAAATCACCACGAGCACCACTACAGCAATTATAACAAGAACTGCTACCACGACGCCTGCTGCTATACCGACCACATTGCCCTGCGATGGTGCACCTGTAAAGATATTTTACATTAAATCTCTCTTTAATCATTTTATTACCAGGTATTTTTGGACGATGGTATAGAATCACGTTATCATGATATTTTTACAATAAAAATAATAATAATAAATAAAAATAAAAGAATAAATATATTTAAAAAAAACAGTTTAGATAATGGCAAATAAAAGCAATAACACACATTTGAGGAAAATATGAGGATATTGCTGAAGAAATTAAAAAATGTAATATTATTATAAAAAGAACATATATGAAAACACCTATAACTAGAAAAGCACCCAGAGAGCACAGACTTCCGCGGAGGCTTCTCAACTCTTATACAGTTGTATACTGAGTTGCCTTGCCTTCGCTTTTTGGGTGCTTTTCTTTTCCCTCTTTCTTCTGCGCCTTTCCTTGAATTTCGCAAACAAAGCTGTGCTCTTCTGTGCAGGATACTGGTTTCCAGCTTCTTAATTCTGGTAAGCGATTATCAAGAATGATGCAATGTTTCGATTCTCCTGCAACCACCCTATCTGACCAGTGCCATTCTTTTAGTTCTTGGCCTAGAAGAGATAATGGTATCATTAATTATCACAGTTCGATTCTGATGTTTTGGCCGCTCGCTAGCATACTCAATGAGAATTTCTGGTTAGCCCATTCTTAGTAACAGATCGAGAAATCGTTTTTTATAATTATTTCATCTGCATGGGGTACGTCTTAAATGTTTCAAATCGAAATACTGTTAAAACGGTGTGATGTAGTTCCGCAATTAGACGCAAATAAGATCCAATGTTGATACTAACCGCTCGACTCCCATCTCCATATATTATTCCGCAGTCCAATCCAACGCTCGTCGGGTGACAAAACACCAAAAACCGACAAAAGTTTTGTCTGAAATACTTCGGTAGACATTTTAATGAGATCAGCATTCCAGTTGAAACATGTTTGCCTCGCGTGATACCACGAGTAGTACTGCTTGCCTAGACTGTATAGAATACAACGACCATCCAATTCATATACCACGACGTTATCGTCATTGCTGGTAGGACAGTTCATATTCTCTCCGAGTTTACCTGTAGGGAAGACAAATTAGTCAAAAGTTTGCACATTGCGTTAAACCAGTCTTATAGACAATGTACTAAATAATTTGAGTTTTTTAGTCTTTATTTCTTCAATCATTCATTTACCTGCTTTCAAATTTATTCCTTTTCTCGAGAGTGCATGTTGTTGCCTATTAGGCCTACGATAACATATTAAAATTTACAGACTGGTTATTAAAACTGAAATGATTCTTCAATGGAAATATACAGTTTTAAAACATCTTCACTTATGTGATCTTAATTATTTAAAAGGGTGTTATAACGCACCTGTTTCGCAAATAAAACCTTTTTCTATAAATTTAAAGCTTGATTTCCAAGTCCACTGCCTCCTGCTCCTTGAAAGCATCACAGCTGTGGACTCGCTGTTTGAGGTATCAAATTGATTGAAACCACCTACATGTAGAAAACATCAGATCCATGCATTGGTTTAAAGAGATGTCAACATAGAAAGTTGCATTTCGAGATACATTTTCAATCGATTAATTTTTAATTTTTCAACAATTTTAAAAGTAAAAAATCAATGAACTTAGTAAATGATATTTTTTTAAATGGATGGATCTGCATGAGCTGAATGATTCAAAATAGATTTACTAGCGTTTGCATAAAATGACATAGATAGCAGCATGTAAAGTAAAAAGGAATAAATGGGCACCCGTTTTAATAGAGCTTTTGTTAGACAAAAAGTTTCATTTCACGATTATGTTATGATATAACCGTATGCCGCAACAAATAGGCGTTATAATTTAGTCCAATAATGTAATTCCTTTGAGAAAATGCTGTAAACCCTTTGAGAAAATGAAACGAACTAGGACTTGGGATATATGGAGAACCGTCCAACCACGTCCATGTCGACATCACGTGCTCTCTAGCACCAATCCAAACACGTCTTTCTCCAGCTATCCCATGTAGTCTCCGCTGCCCGTTTGCACTCCGAACTGTCGCTAGATGTCCGCCCTGTTCAAGACAATACTGCTCAGCAGCGCTGAAGGTAATATTTTTATCAACTGTGAAGAAGCAGTGGTCGTCTTCGCAAAAGCAATCTTTATATTTTGCTGCGCATTTTTCTAAAAGAGGAAAATGCCCTATTTACTACATGGTTAATACACAAATCGGGAGAAATTAGCATCACATTGTGATATAAGATTGGCTGTGGGATTCTGAATATACCAGATAGTATATCTGAGATATACACTACCCATAGTGTTCTTAACTGGGTTTAAACAGCTATACTTATAATATGTCTCTTCATAATTATAAGTAATAAAATACTTTAGTTAACGTGGTAAACGTTATCACGGGTGTTAATATTCAGTATTTGCATCAGGACGTTAATTAATGTACGAGAAAGTTGCTTCTCACGTACCCAAGTATGTGTTTTACTGGTGAATGTAGAAGTCGCAAGTTATATTTTTATACTATAAACTCGTTGTGACTTTACCCAGCACTTTTGTTAATATAGTGTTATCTACCAAGATTGTACTGTGTATATATGTACGCAAACGTAAATAAATCCTTCATTAGTGACACGTTTTGGGAAGGGAAAGGGGTCAAATTGATTCTGAATACAAGCTAAACTGTCACAGTGGCTTCCACAGACTGGGGAATAGACTTTGAATGGAGTAGGGTACAGGGATACATGTAAGTGGGATTAATGACAACAGAGTGGGAGTGAACCGACTTCTTAGAGCCCACAGGAGAAGGGCAGTGTTGCCAGAGTGAGCCAAGAGGTTTGTGTGTGTGTGTGTGTGTGTGGTGGGTGGGGGGGGGGGGGGGGGGGGGGGGGGGGGG